TGTAAGATAAGCCTGCTCGATCTCAAGATTGAGTTCCCATGCAGTAGCTTGATAATGATGGTGTTGTCGGGCTCCCGCTGCGCCTGGATGCTTCCAGGCCTCTCTCCACGCCGCCATCTGCTGAAAGCGGTCACCCGACAGCGCAGTATATATTGAGCTAAGATTGGTGATGGGCCGCGTCTGGTCCACTGTGGCCAACCACACTTCATCAGGTTCGATTTCTTCACTATGATCAACTTCAGGACCCCATATTGGCAGACAGCTTGTGATACCCAGAGTCATAACCTGCGGCCAGCTCATCCATTGATCTTCCACGGCTTTGAGCAAGAGCGCGAACAAGTTACATATGCATACTGGTAGTATTCTCAACTCACCAAAACGCCGACCATAACAGCACGATGCGCACCTGCTCTATTGAATTGCCTCTGGAGGCGTGCACCTGTGATGTCCTCAATATTGCATGGCTTGGCTTCGATATGCTGGCCAAGCCGCGCTTTGAAGGCATCCCAGTCATGCAGCACATTTTTGTTGAAGATAGTATGTCAGAATTTGTCAACCTCTTCCAGAATCTGCGCGCGCTGTGTGACGACTCTTTTGTCATGAAATCCTCGCACCGCATGAAGAGTATGATATTGCCGCTGCTTGATCCACGAATAGAGGTCTCTTCCACTTTCAAAACGGAGTGATCGTCGTAGCCGCTTTCTCCATTCATCTATTCGGGCCTGTTTTCTTTATTTGACTCTCTGTGCGTGTCTTTGTTCAAGTTGCTGATGCCAGCCTGTGATACTGCTAAGGTGTGGGAGTCCCACTGGTAGCTGATCTTGGCTGAGTCGCAATGCTCGCTGTACTTGTGGTCTTACTTTGTCCCAGAGCCGTTGTGCGCTGAGACGCTGCAGCATTGTGGGTGATGTAGTAGAATGCCCACACTCAGGCATGTATCTGCTGATTTGAGCTGCCAACTCCATCAATCTGGATATGATATTCTCAAGCTTGCGCATTTGAATAGTGGACGGTCCTTCACGCGCTGGGTCCCGCTTCGTGTTCGCGGGGGCCGTCGTCGAGAACTCGATCACTTCTGGCATCTGGCTGCGTCCGTGGTACCGATGATCAAAACGTATGCCTGTGTGCTCAAGCCGCTTCTCCAGGAACATCTCGCCTATGAGGCCGACTTGTTTCCAGGCTTCATTTGGTAATTCATCTTCCAACGCACGCTCAAATGTCTCATAATATTGTTCGATACATTCTTGCCCAATTTTCTCGTTGTCCTCGGTGGAGATCTTCTTGGGTGCCTCGATAGGATAAGCGAGTGGTAATCGTAGTCTTTGCCAGCTCTCCTCAAGTTGCGTCACATTGATGGTGAGCTCCAAGCCAAGATGTGAGCAGATCCCCAGATCACGCCGTAGCCGAAATGAATGAATAGCTTCACGTGCAGCTGTGTTGGCAATGATCAAGTCTGGACGGCTGACATTCGTACCAGGTGAGAACTTGTCCCAATTCGGATCTTGCCCATATGTCGGTTCACTGCCATAGATAGCTCCAATATCATGCCACCGCCCTGTTGCTAGAGCAGCTGGGAGCATCGATGATTGGCTAATTGTCGCATTAGAATCCACACACAAAAACACCGCCTGATCTCCAAGCGATTCGGCATCCTCGAAAGCGTACTGGAAGTTTCTGTCGTTGCGTGTCCTGATTAATACATCATTGCCAGATTCATTATACAAAGATTCAATATGGATCGGAGTACCACCAATAAGAACCAACTGCCTCAACCACCTCGTAGTTTGGTATAGTTCAGGCGCAGCACCGTATCTTTTCCCACAATCAATAGCCACCACATCGTGTTTAGTAAGAATAGCAACTCCACCCTGCGCACTCCGTGATGCCTTTTGCCTGTGACAAACTTGAGCACGTACAGGTAGCCCAAAGCTGGCTCGATAATGTACTGCTGCACACGCTTTTTCACATCCAAGTTGCTCTCGCAGGCTGAGTCCCGTCTCTTGCAAGGCCAAGACATCTGCCGACATACATGACATTCTTCCGCTGAAAGTACTCCAGCTGGTAATATTTGCAGAAATTATTGTAGCCATCCTCGCAGCGGGAGGTGGCTCTGGCCTGCCAGCAGGTTGCTTGCCTCGCAGTCGTCTGGAGGTCATCATTGCGGCGGGTCAACTTGCATGGGGGCGGCCTCCGAGGTCTCTTTGAGTCGCTTTGCCAGGCGCTCAAGCTCCTCGTCATCCTTCTTCTCCTCCTCCGTGAGAACATCAGTACCTGCACGTAGTAAAGTGAAGCATTTTGAAAGGCCCTGCCCCTGAAACTGGAGCTGTGTCATGATTTGTTTGTTTTGCTCTGCCAAAGCTGCACCAGTAGCATCCGTAATGAACTTTTGGAAGTCCGCTGAGAGCCCACTGCCTGCTGACGACGCCGGTGTCGGTGGTGGTGGTTGTTCTTGTGGTTGCTGTGGTCGTGCTGGTGCTGCTGGTCGTGCTGGTCGTGTAAGTTGCGCTGTGAGGATGGAGCTTGCTGCTTGCTGGGCTGGTGCTCGCTCGCTCGGCTAAACGTTGTAACAATATCCACCCATTCTTTTGATACTGGTGCTGGGGCCTCTGGTTTCTTGACTGCATTGATCGTAGCTTGGATATCGCCCAGGAGTAAGTCTGAAACCTGTGGTGGCCCTGCAGCTCGTACGCGGATAACTGGAGTCGATCGTGATCCTTTACCTTTCTTTCGTAGATTGACAAATTCGGCTTCCCATCCCAGTTGCTGGGACAGTTCACTGACCAGTTGCTTTCCTTCCACCAGCTGTGGCAGAGGTGAGATCTCATAGAGTGACGGCGCAGGTGGGGCACGTCCCTGTAGGGCCTGCCACGCTGCCTGCGCCTTCGTTTTGCAGACTCGAAAGAAGAGGGCGCCGTTGGCTTTGTAACCCAAGCCTCGGCCTCCCTCCAGGGCTGCTGTCTGAGAAATTGCATCCGTCAACGTCGTGCCACGTGTGATGGGCACGAAATCCTGTGTTTTTCTCCTCGTCCAGTGCTTGGTTTGGTACACCCCCTGCACGGGATCGTTGGAATATGATGCCATCTGGTCCAGATTCAGCTCGTAATGCTTGAGCTCTCACTGAAGTAGTTTTGGACAAACCTGATATTATCCTCTGACCAGGCTGCTCCTCGTTGAAAACTCTGCCACTCCACACCCGCAAGTCGATATCTGGACCATGAAATTGCACTGGGAGCTTCGCCAAAACGATTCTCGCCAACTCACTGTCCAGAACACGCCATGGTGGAGGTGACTCATACTTGCGCTGTCCAGGTGATCCCTCAGCACGTCGGTCACGCGATGCCGTCGCTTGCTTGTGTAATTTGTACAGATCATTGAAGAGCTTCTCCGTGCAATGGGCCTCGAGAATGGCAACATTCATGAGCTCATCTTGGGAGTAGGTGATCTTTGTTGGCTTCTTTTTCGGGACAACAACTTCGTTTTGTTTCCCACCATATTGCCATACATACAACTGCTTGATTGTGCGTCTGCTATCGCTTTCAAAAAGAGGTACATGCATAAGACTGATGGCCGACGCAAGTCCACGTTGGCCACATATGATATACAAATCTTTAGGCACCTGAGACGGCGCCTGAGCTAGCACGAAGCCGAAGGGGTCTGGTGGGTCAGGTCTCTGCCAGAAACTGTCGAGCTTAGTAAGCTCCAGCAACTCAGCAACTGTGACCAGGTGCACCGCCTTCATGTTGTTGACGTCTGTCGGCAGGCCTCTGCATACTGGAATATCCCAATCATCAGGATCCAATTTGGAGGTAATCTGCCATCCTGCTGGTTGTGGTTCTTTTTTCTTTTTCTTCTTATTTGTCTTCGTTGCGGCCTTCTCGACGTTCTTGTTTGCTGAAGCTGTGGTACCAATAGGCTGCTCTCTCAGCCAGGCGTCGATGGCCTTGGTAATCTCAGTGGTGGGCAAAGCTGCAATCGTCTTCATCCGTTCCGCCGAGAATTTCTTGAGATGATCATATACTTGCTGGGCGTTGTGGTCACTCTGAAGCTCGAGGACCGCACACACTCTCGCTTGAGCTTTGGCAGGAGTAACTCTTGCCAACACTTTCGCCACCGTCTTCTTCTGGGTCGGCCCGTTACCGTGAAGAGCGTGCTGCAGTTTGTTCCAAGCATTGTGAGGTAGCGCCCAGACATAGAATAGAAGTCGCCCCATGCAGCGGCTACCAAAGAGGACTCCACTGAGACTTTCATCGTATTCGTCATCATGCACCCAAGCACTGATATCATATAAAGAATTGCGATAATGTTGAAGCATAAGATATTCCCATTCACCATAACAATCGTATTGGATCTTCGCGTCCATCTCCTCAAAGCTGGACGACACCACAACCGAATACGTCGGGCCGACATACAGAAGGTTGATCCTGAGGATGTGCTCCATCATCTCGTTGTGGCCCAAGGCCTTCGCATCCTTGTCGCGGATCCTTATGATACGTGTCGACTGCATCTTGGTGTCTTTTGTGGGCCTCCCGGGTTCCTCTGGGGTCTCCTGGAACCTCCCGAGGGCCTCTAGACCTCCAAGGACTGCTTGAGCTATCATTTTGAAGACTACTGGGCGAGTTATGAGAAAGTTGGCCTCCAGAATGCTCACGCGCTACACCCCAGGGAGCGCCAAAGCGCGGCCGCGAATCCTGGCAAACCAGGGTCGGGGCCTTCAAGCATCCTACAGACTGTCATCACCCACGGTGTATGAGTGGCGAGGCCCCTTACTACGTGATGAAGATACGATGGCGGGTCTGTTCCTTCGCTGGCAGCTACAGGCGCGCGCTTCGCTTCCGCATCCTTGCTCGAGCCGAGTTCTGGCAAGCGTCTGTTCCTAAGGTGGGCCACGCTCTTCGCGTCGACGCGACAGGCGCTCGCAATGGGCTGCTCTTGCAGCAAGGCTGGGGGGCCGGAGGCTGCGACGACACGGTCCTGCGCCGCCTCCCTCGCGGGGGCACGCGATGACGCGAGCAGCTCCACGCACGAGCTCGGCGACCAGGCCGACAGCCCCCAGCAGCTGTCAAACTTGCTCACCAGCAGCAGGGACGGGTCCCCGAAGAAGGCCCACACGCTGGAGAGCGCCGCTGGAGTCGACGCCTCCCGCCACGTCGGCTTCGTGGACGCGCCTCCGCGCTCGAGAGCTTCTGGCGGCTCGGTCACGTCGAAGCAGACCCGCACGCTGGAGAGCTCCGCCGGAGGCAACGCCGCCAGCCACGCCGGCTGTGTGGACCCGCCTCCGCACTCACGCCTCAGCTCCGCCTCCGGCGCCTCGGTCGCGACCCCGCAACCGCAAGGCCCGCCTCTGCATGAGCGCGGACCACGGGGCACCCCGTGGCCCACCACGCAGCACTCACGCCTCAGCTCCGCCTCCAGCGCCTCGGTCGCGACACCGCGACCGCAAGGCCCGCCTCTGCCTGAGCGCGGACCACGGGGCACCCCGTGGCCCACCACGCGGCTCGAGGAGCCCGCCGACGCCGAGCTGCAGGCCGAGCCGGTCTCCCGCAGGCCGTCGAGACCCTCCATCGTCTCGGGCGAGGACTGCATCGGCACGCTGGTCGGGGCGGCGCTGCTGAAGGGGCGCGCCTCGCGGCGGTCGGGCCAGCACTCCCAGCCGAGCCAGGCGGACCAGCTCGCCCGGAACTCCTGGTCGCGCCCTGTGGCCGGCCTGTGGGACCGGCCCGAAGGTTACTTGCACACCCAGGCGCGCTCGCGGCCGCCGCAGTACCCGGAGCGCGCGAGCGTCGACGACGCGCGCGTGCCTTGGAGCGTCGCATGGGAGGCCTACAGCCCGACCCCCTTCTCCGAGGGCGGCCTGGCCACGGCGGCGGGAGCGGACCCCGCGGACCCGCGCGGGGTGGCGGCGGAGCTGGCCCGCAGGAAGACCTTCGAGGGCGCCATCGTCCTCGAGCCAGACACCGGCTGCCCCATCAACCCGCTGGGGCGCACGGGCATGCGCGGGCGCGGCGCGCTCCAGAGGTGGGGGCCGAACCACACCGCCGACCCGATCGTGACGCGGACGGAGCCGCTCACTGGACGCCTGCAGGTCATGGTGGCGCGAGCGGGTGCCGGGCTGTTCAGGCTCCCGGGCGGCGAGGTTGACCCGGGCGAGCTGGTGCCCGCCGCCGTCATGCGCGAGTTCGCGCGGGAGGCCGACGCGCTCGCGGGCGGCGGGCACGCCGAGGGTCTCGCCGGGCTCCAGGAGCGGCTCTTCTCCTCGGGCCAGGTCGTGTACCAGGGGTACGCGGACGACGCGCGGAACACGGACAACGCCTGGGTCGAGACGGTGGCCTTCCACTTCCACTGCGACCAGCACCTGGGCGATGCGCTGTCCCTGGAGGGCCGTGCCCCCGAGGACGCGGAGGCGCTCCGCAGGAGGGCGCGGGGTGTCTTCCTGGGGGCGCGGAGAGACGGCACCCTGCAGGGCGCCCTCGACAAGATACACAAGGACGCCTCCAAGAAGAGCTCTTTGGCCTCGAGGAGCCGCCTGTCGTCGAGGGTCAGGAAGGCAGTCGGCATGAAGGCCATGCCCGCGCTCACTGAGGACGGCGGCTCGCCCGCCGCGCCTGGCCCGAGGGTCAGCAGCAGGGTTCGGGAGGTCGTGTGGCTGAACGTGGACCCGCAGGAGGACCGACATGGATGGAGCATGCGTGTCCTAAGGCGAATGCAGCAGAAGGACGAGGCATTGATACAGCTGCTCGTCCTGGAGAGCTCTCGTCGCCGCGGCTGGATTATCATCGAATTGTTGGTCGGAACGCACCCCAGAAAAGGTCCGCGGATTAGCGCTATGGTATTGGCACGTACCACCCCACCACAAACGGGTACTGATTCTGCTGCCCGCCGGTGGGCTCCCAGGGACTCTCCCCCTGGCCCTGGAGACCGTCAAAGAGCTGCTCGGGATGAGGAGCTGGTCCTTGTGGAGGGCCCAGGGCCTAGGATCCATGAAGCTGGGTCTGCGTTAGGGTGCAGGGTCTGGAATCTGGCACCCGTTCTCCTTCACGCAAAGAGGAGGGCTACCAGAAGCTGCACGCCGGCCACCGCGACTGGGTCGACGCCGCGGCGGCGGAGCTCGCGCGACAGGGCAGGCTGCAGAGCCCGCCGCCCGACCGGGCGGCCCGGTCCGCGGCCACCGCGCCGAGCTCCAGCGGCGCCGGCCGCGGGCCGCTCGAGACGCGCGCGGGCCAGGGCGCCGATCGGCTCTCGGAGGCGCCGCGCGACCGCGCCGCGTCCGCCGCGCAGCCCGGCGCCAAGGCCGGGGCCGCCGAGGGGGGCACGAGTGGCAAGAGGGCCAAGCGGGTTGTGCGCATGGTGACGGGGTCGCTGCGCCCCGAGGGGGCGATGGAGGACTGGAGCGGCGAAGAGCTGCCCGGGCATGCTCGCGTCCCGAAAAAAGTCGGGACGGGAGGTTGTTGAGCCGTTTGGGGAGCTCCGGGGGCCACGAAGGGGCCCCGGGAGCGTTGGAAACCGGCCCGGGACGAAAAACAGGTCCTGGGGAGAGGGTCGGGACCTCCAGGGGCCCCGAATGGAAAACTGCAGGACATCGCATGCCTGGGTGCAGAATGTAGCATACGCACGCCTTCGGAGGTCCGCGTGGATTCCCTTCCTTGGGGTCGGGGCTGGACGCGCCCCCCGCCCAACACCTACAGGCGGCGCCTCCAGCGCCGCCCCAGGCGCGCTGAGCGCGCCGGGCAAGGGGGGTGGGCAGGGAGGTCCGGCGCCGACCCAGGAAGGCCGCGCAGACCCCCTGAAGTCTCAGTTTGTGCAGTCACTTGCGACTCTGAGAACGACGCATGCAGTTCACCCAGGAGCTCCAGGAGGACCCGCCCTCCGGCTGGGAGCGCGTCGAAGTCCGACAGCCGCGGTCCCGCAGCGCCTTCCAGTTCTGAGTGAGAGCGCGCGCCACCTTCCGAGCCGTCGAGCGCGTCGTCTAAACTTTACGTGCTCGAGGCCCTTCTGAGGCATGAGACTTCGTCGCGCTTGAGCCCAGAGCGCGGAGGTCAGAATCTAAAGTTGCTCGCGCAGCGCTTCGCTTGCACAGCTTGCCTGAGGCAATGCTGTCTGCTCGTGGCCCAGGCCGCCGCTGTGCGCGCGTCGTTCTCCCCGTCGCACAGCGAGCGGCCAGTGACGGCCACATGTTCGTTTTGCCAGCACCGCGATTGAAATGTTCCTCTTAGCCCTGTCGTCCTCCTCTTCATCCACTTCGCCCTCCGCCTGGTCTCGTCTGGCGCCACGCCCTGGACACGTAATCTTTGAATTGCAGATAAGTGCGACAAGTGGGCCCCTCAGGCCATTCTCTACCCGGTGCAGTGGCGTAGTAGATTGGCATTGCAGTTTCGCACCACGGTCGGTCGTGACAGCGTTGGAGCATGCGCGACAAGCAGAGGTTAAAAATTGCTTGTGGTATTGATGCTCATTGTGCCAAGCAGAAGGAGCAGCAGGGGTCTGAGAGCAGACCTCGAGCCACCCTGCTGGCTGGAAGTCGTCACCTTGCTCCACCGGCATTCCTCCTGCTCCGTTCTTGTTTGACAGACTCGTGCCTGGGAGCGGACATAGAGCAACGTGTCATGCTGCGCGCGTGGGCAGATTGAGGAGGAGAGACGGGGAGGCAGGCGGAGGAGGGAGGAGGGGAGGCTGATGGAACATCAAGAGTGGAGCAGGTAGGAGAGAAGAAGTGGGAGGGTGAGGTCGAGGGGCGGGGTGAGAAGGTGGAGCTGAACTAGGAGGAGTAGGAAGGTTAGACAGTGTAGAGAGAGAGAGAGAGAGAGAGACAGACCGACAGACAGTCAGAGTGAGAGATAGGCAGACAGACAGACAGACAGACAGACAGACAGACAGACAGACACACAGACACACAGACAGACACACAGAGAGGTAAGAGAGCGAGAGGTGAGCGAGGGAGGGAGGAAGGGAGGGAGGGAGGAGTAGAGGGAGGCGGGAATAGCAGGAAGGGAGGCGGCGGAGCAGGGCCCGCCAGGTATACCGTTTGCAGCCAGGGCGGTAGATGTGTCAAGGTGAAGTACGACAACGTCATTTGCTGAAAGGGCCGCCGTTGTCTGCGGTTCCGCCGCGATGCACAGCTCAGCGCAGCTGCGAACACAGTAGCCACGTCAAATGAGACATCGGCCTGCGAGCAGCCCAACGGGTGTGTCCTATCGCTTGACTGCCCAGGGGACCCGTTGGGGCACCATGGGACCTTCAGAGGTCCACGAAGAGTACGGCCCAAGATCTCTTACTAGCAGGATGTCTTACCGCACGTGTCTACTGCACGAAGTGCTGTTCCTGCTGCCGGGGACTTGACCTATTCCAGCATCTCGGCGGGGCGAATCCTGGGCCAGAGGGGCGATTGTCCGCCATCCCGCCGGAGCCTGGAGGTTGAGGGCCCGATGTCTAACAGGATCTACATATGCTGTTATGTTTCAGCTGGACTGTTCGGTGTGCAGCCCGGCTGCATGATGGCGACGAGCCTGCGGAGAGGACATGGTTCTCGTTTGCCTGTTGTTTGGGAATGTGTGGCTCATGTACAACAAACGATTGTACAGGTAGGTTTTGTGTGTCCAATACTTTCTACGGTGTAGACGTGCCATCGCCGTTGCTCTCATCCCAGATCCCTCAGTGATCGCCAACGCATTGCATGACGGCATGACTTGCGGTTGGGTGGCGAGGGTGCCGTTCGCTTGTCTATCTTGGTGTTTCCAGCACGTTCCGCCATTATGCCAGCGAAGCATTCTGTGTGGCCGCGTTTCGAGAGTCGTCCAGAAGGCCTTGAATTCTCGTTCTTCAGACCCAGATGGCCGCAACCCGTGACATGTGATAGCTGTTTTCCCCAGTTCCCAGAGGGCCGCATATGATCTATAACAACTCGCTTCCCCAGTGGAGATGAATCCGTAACACGTAACATGTGGCAGTTGGTGGCCCCCATGGTCCAGGGTGCCGCACCGTGTGACATCGGGGGCTGACGCCTCCCAGGGGCTTGCCAGAGGCCTCTTGCATACTGGTCGGAGGGGGTCTTGGGCAGCTTCGAAAACTTCGGAGGGGGGGCTCTGGCAAGCGCGTTGGGGCAGGTCTGGGCGGTCTTGGAGCCATCTCGGGGCAGTGTGGGGCCATCCTGTGGCCATCTTTACGGTAGGTTCGCGTCGTGTCGACTGGCGGCGATCCCGCCGCCGGCGTTCAACGTTGAACGCCGCCGGAGACCCAGACTCGGTCGACGTTGAACGATCTGACCTTCTCGGAAACGGCCGATCGTTCAAGGTTGAACGATCCCCGTGGTGTCAGGAACCAACGCCAGGGTCGACACGACTCAGGAGGGGAAAAAACACACAGACACAAGTAATCGGCGATCCCCCGGGAAATATGGGAAAAGATGGGAAGTGGGGGGGAAGACAGCAATCCAGAAGATATGGAAACAAAAATAGGGGCTCCTGGGATTTGCGTGTACACTTCAGGCGATGCTTAAGAAAACCCAAGTTTTCGGCCAGAGTCTCGATTATTCTTAATGTTTCAATGTAAATCCTAACATTAAATTGGACATTCTGGGTTTGATTTCAAATTCTGAGACTATGAATTTCTGAACCCATGATTTCTAAAGCATTTCGCAGGGTGTATCTATTTTCCTGGCATTTGCGTGTATCTATTTGTGTGTCCTTGGGCCCCCTTGAACGGCGCGAGCCTGCGGTGCACGAGCCTGCGGCCATCCTTCGGCCGCCTGTGGCCTCTCGGAGGCCCTGCCGGGGGGGAGTAGGATAGAGGGGGCCTCTTGGGGCCGCGCGTGGCCTCCTGCGGTGCGGAGGGGCGGCGCAGAGGGAGGCACGGTGTGCGCAACGGGGCGCTACGGTTCAATCCCTCTACGGGAGGAAGAGTCCAAGATGGTCAAAAAAAATACGCTGGGGACCATTTTTCGATTCCTCCTGATTCTGTTTGGAGCATCGTTTGGCTATCCTTACTTTTTCGTCCAAACATCCCCCCCCTGTAAGGGGGGACATGCCCGACCGAACGCTGCAGCCCGGATCCGTGACGAGACGTACGGCTTTTTCGAGCAAGCGCTCCTCCTTCGAGTTGGGCCTCTACGGGGCCCGCTCTCGGGCCCCGGGGGCTGTCAAAAAGGGGTCCGGGGCGACGCATCGGCCCCCCGGGAGGGGTCGGGGCTGGCCAGGGCCCCCAACAGTGACACGTCGACTAGTGAATTGTCCGTTTTCGGTTCTCGAGAGGGCGCCGTGGCCGTTATGTTCCGGGCTTGCGCCCGCCAGGTTTGGGCCTCGGGTCGTTTTCACTAAACCACGTTTTACTAAAGGGGGGTCTGTCCATCCCCGGAAGGGGTCTGGACCTCTGGTGCCGCGCAGGAAATCAGATCGGCAGGTGTCGGGGAAGAGGGCCAGGGGCAACGATAGGGGGGATAGGCATATGGGGGGGATGCATCGACCCCGAATCGCCCATTGATCGCCGATAGGGGCCCCATAGCCCCAACCTGCACAGGAAGGTGCGGATTCACTATCGGGGGCCCATCGCCGATCTATCGGCGATGTATCGTCGATTCCAGGTCGATGCATCCCCTCCTATGCCAGTCTCCCCCCTATCGTTGCCCCTCAGAAGGGGGGAGTGGCCTTCAGGAAACTGCAGAATCCAGACATGCAGCCCTGGCAAAATGCCACGCCGCTACGCGCCAGGGGGTGCGGAGGCGGATGATATGTACCGCGGCACTTTGCATTGTCCGGCCGTTTCGCCGATCTCTTCATCTGCTTGCGCGGGTTCTTTCTTTAAAGGTTCTGCGCTTGGTTGATCTGATCAGGGTGCGCTGCCGCGCAGTATCTGCCGCCACGCTCGCTCTGGTGGAAGCTGCGTGACCGCGTCCGTAGCCTGGAGGCCCTGGAGGGCCGCTGGGGCCTGCTGGCGATCTCGGGGCAGTCTTCGGGGGGTCCTGGCGAAGAGTGCGGGGGTCGTACAGTCATCGTCCCAACATAAGAAAGAGCGCGTTCTGTGGTCGCTTGGATGGGGGGGGGGGTTGGAACCGAACCCCCCCCCCCTCCTCTCTCCCTCTCCTCGGGCCGGCGCCTGCGTCGGCGGCGGCTGGCGGCGGCGGCGGGGACGACGACTTCCTTTTCTGGGCCGGCGCCAGCGCCTGCGGCGGCGGGCGGCGGCGGCGGGGAGCGTCGACGAGGACGACGGCGACGACGACGACGACGCTCCGCCACCGTGCCTTGGTTTTGGGTCAGATTCCTAATGGATGGCTCTTGGGGTCTCGTTCTCGGGGGCCTCTGAAGGGCATTTGTGCAGCCTCCTGGTCGCCTCTGGAGCGTCTCTTGAGGCCTCTCTGAGGTGGTGGTGGTGGAGGTGGTGGGCTGTGGTGGTGGTGGTGGTGGTGGTGGTGGTGATGGTGGTGATGGTGGTGGCGGTGGTGGTGGTCGTGGTGTGGTTGGTGGTGGTGGTGGCTGTTGTGGTGGTTGTGGTGGTTTTGGTGGCAGGTTGTGGTGGTGATGGTGACCGTGGTGGTGGTGGTAGTGGTGGTGGTGGTGATGGTGGTGGTGGTGATGGTGGTTGTGGTGCGGTGGTTTCTGGGTGGTGGTGGTAGGTGTGGCGGTGGTGGGTTAAGGTGGTGGTGGCGGTGGCGGTGGTGGTATGGTGGTTTGTCGTGGTGTTGTGGTGGTGGTAGTGGTTGTGGTGGTGGTGGTGGGTTGTGGTGGTGGCGGTGTCGGTGGTGGTGATTGTGGTGGTTGTGGTGATGGTTGGTGGTGGTTTGTTTCGGTGGTGGCGGTGTCGCTGGTGGTTTGTTGCGGTGGTGGTGGTGGTTGTGGTGATGGTTGGTGGTGCTGGTGGTGGTACTGGTGGTGTGGTGGTTTGTGGTGGTGGTGGTTGGTTTTTTGTGGTGGTGGTGGTGGTGGTGGCGGTGGTGGTGGTGG